AAATAAATAAAATAAAATAAAAAGACTTCTGCACCGAAACAAAAATATTAGAAGGGAACACACCAAAATATTTACCATGTTGGGGTAGCATGTTACTGTTCTTCAGCTGCAAGTGACAGAAACCCACCTAGACTGACTGAAGTGTTTTGTTTTGTTTTTTAAAAGGAGAGGTAAAATGTATTGGCTTCATAATTTAAATCTTTCAGGCATGACTAGATCCAGGGGCCCAAATAATATCAGGACCCATTCATTCTCTTTCTCCCTCCATCTCTCCACTCCTTTTTCCTCTATAACCTTAGTGAATGTCCAGCATACCTCCTGAGATTGACTCACTGGGCCAATATGAACAATCGTCTGGGGTCAGGAGGATGCATTGTTCAGATTGGCTGAATCTGGGTCTTGTGCCCATCCTTGGAACCAGGGATTGGGTCAGTTCCACCCAAACCATGTGGACTGACAGTAGCTACAGAGAGCCATTTCCCAAAGGAAAGCCCAGGGATTATTAGCAGAACATGAAGTAGGGAAAGGGACACCAGGCAGGCAAAAGCAGGAGCCAAATACTGGTGATATGACTGAGTAGTTACTTTTCTATTTAAAACATTTAAAAATTTCCTCCTTGGGGGCGCCTTGGGTGACTCAGTCAGTTAAGCATCTGACTCTTGATTTCTGCTCAGGTCATGATCTCAGGGTCATGAGATGGAGCCCCAAGTCAGGCTCCACGTTCAGCACGGAGTCTGCTTGGGATTCTCTCTGTCTCTCTCCCTCTGCCCCTTTCCCTGCTCTCTCTCATGCATGCTCTCTCTCAAATTAAAAAAATAAAATTTTAAAAAAGAAAAAAAAAAGAATGTCTCCTGTGGACAGCATATAGTTAGGTCTTGCTTTTCTATGCAGTATGACAATCTCTATCTCAATTAAAATGTTTAGTCTAATTAATGTAATGTTACTATTGATGTTTGAATTAGTTCTATAATTTTGCTATTTGTTTTTTGTTTTTCCCATCTGTTTTTTGTTTTTCTTGCCTATTTCGGGGTCAGTTGGATATTTTTTAGAATTCTGTTTTAATTTCTGCAAGTACTGATTTTAATTCAGAAAAATAGTTTCAAGAAAATCTCATCAATTCAGCCAGCACTGTTGCTCATTTCTCTTTGTTCCAGCAGGATAATGAAAGCCCTTGCCAATGCTGGAGTGCCTGTCCCCAAAGTTCTTGGCCTCTGTGAAGATTCAGGGTAATGTTCAGATTTATTTCTTTCATTACATATTCAAACTACAGAAGAGAAACGCCCATATAGTAGCTCAAATCCCAGTTTGTTAAAGTGAAGACAAATAAAATTTGGGTGAGAGAGAACAGAGATTTTATAGCAACCTCCCCTGGAAGTTCACAGAACTTTAAGTTATCCTGAAAGATAAAGAAATGCCTGCTTTTGTGAAAATTGGTAGAAAACATTTTTTTATCTTTTAAAAAATTTATATCCATCTAGTTTCATGTTGCTTGTTTTTGTTAATTTTTTATTGTGGTCCTTTTTTTTTTTTTTTTTTAAGATTTTATTTATTTATTTGAGAGAGAGACAGAGATAGCGAGAGAGAGCACGAGTGGGGAGGAGAGGGAGAAGCAGACTCACCGCCGAGCAGGGAGCCCCACGTGGGGCTCGATCCCAGGACCCTGGGATCATTAACCGAGCCGAAGGCAGACGCTTAACCGACTGAGCCACCCAGGCGCCCCCATCATAACTATTTTTAAGTGTTCAGTTCAGTAGCATTAAGTATATTCACGTTGTTATGAAATAAATCTCCAGAACTTTTTCAAGTTGCAAAATAGAACAGAAGGAAAAGACCAGGGATCTTATCAAACTTAAATCTGAAGAATTTTTTCACTTCCCCAACGCAGTGACTCTCAGCGTAGTGGCTTCTGAGAGATGTCTGCTCATGAGAACTTGGCCCTGTCCCCTGGGTTCACCGCCCCCTCTCATCTGTCTCCGCCAGCACAGCCTCCCCTGCAGCACGGACCCTGGTCTGTGTCTGAAACACCCTTTGCTAGGCACTATTAATGTCTTCACTATAGGGAGCTTGTCTTTTTTAGCTCATTCAGGTGCATAAGTAGAGAGTCCAATGTATTCAGGACATTTATTTACCTGAAAGGGCAGCTCTCACCCAACCTTGAATAATGCAGTCTGGAGTAGAGGAAGGGGCCCCCAGGTTTGTCCTTGGTCTTGGAGAGTGTGAGTCTTTCCAGGAGGGAGCAGGGATTGACATCTGTTCTCAGGGTAGACCAGAGGGTAGCGGGTCTAAGCCTCTGTGGCCATTTTAGGCCCACTTTCTAGGAGATTAAGCCCCGGGGACAGTGTGAGGACCTGCAGGGTTGCCTGGCACTGGAACAGCTTTTGCAGGGGGCTCCTGCACCCCCGGCAGCACCCCCACCCCCCCCAGTTCCGGATCACATACATGGTTGAAGCAAGGTTGTCAGGACACAAGGGAGCTCTTTGCGTGAAAGGAATAGTGATTCTTTGCCACGAACAGTCTCTTTGGCATCCATCCTACGATGAGATTTATCTAAGCTGAGCATGGCTGTTTTGTGTTTTAACTTCTGAAATATGAACGTTAAGGTCATGTGTCTTTTGTAGTAGTAACCAGTGCCTTCTTTCTGAAAAAACGGTGAAGTACTTTTCCTAAGGCTGAAATGTGCAGCTCTTCTGTGTAGCCACAATATCTAACGTTAGCGAAATGCTTTGTCATTTTGGAACTCACTCAACTTTCATTTAAAGTTCTCAACAACCACGACAATAGGTAAGATAGCTATTAGTATCCCCACATGACTGATGAGGACACCGTGTCTGAACCAGAACTCTGGTTTTCTGAGCTTGCCCCTAGGTAGTAATGCAGTATTTCCATATCCAACTTGAAAAAGCAGCAACATTTTACGTCGTAACACTCTTAAGTTATTTGTTATGACAAATCTCAACTGTCCTTATAGTATTCTTTTCAAAAACTATGGCAGTATGCATGTGGGAGCACCACCTTTTAGAGCCACCTCTCATTCCTGTCCCTCGCTCAGGTCGTGGAATCCTGCCTAGAAGGTCTCTGTAAGCCAGACCCCAGGATCTACAAGCTGTGCTTGGAGCGGCTCGGCCTGCAGCCTTCTGAGTCCATTTTTCTGGATGATCTTGAACTGAATATAAAAGCAGCCGCCAGCCTTGGCATTCACACCATTCAGGTAATGGTCACAATTTTTTGAACCCCGGCTGTGCACCAGGCACTGGCCTAAGCATTTCTGTATAGTCCTGCTCACAATCATAGTTGTGTTTAGTGGTTTTCCCCCATGCTGCTGTAGTCTCATTTTTTTATTAATTAGGAAATTTATGTGACGAGCCACTCGCATTTTCAAAGGGAAGTAGGACAAACACATACTAAGAAGGCAGTTTGAGAACAGAATTACACAAGGAGGGTGGCTGGCAGGCTTAGGACATTTGGGAGGGCAGTTAGGCTGTTCTAGTGACGCTGTTCTGGGTGGGGACCCAGCAGCTAGCAGCCACACAGACCACCCGGGTCGTGGCTTTGAAGAGTGAGAAGCCACCTGAAAGGAGACCTCCGACTGGCTTCCCATGTTCGCGTTTTCATGATGAGGCGGCTGATGGGCCGTCGGGACAGGGTGGCACAGCATTCTGCCCTCCTGGCGTGAAGGAGCATCATGGACTCTTAACTGACACTCTTCCAGCAGAGAGCGTTTAATGTGGTTAGGAATTAAATGGGAAGAGGAAGCTCATCCTACAGCTTCCTTGTTAGCTGAACATCCTGGCCTCCAAAGCCCTTGCTCAGAGACCTGAATTCTTGGTTATCTCCCCCTAAAGAACTACCCTTTTAGAGAACAGACAGGAGGCCAGGTCAGGGTTGACCGGTGATTGATGTTCAATATTCTCTTTGAAACCAGGTTGATGACCCAGAGACTGCCGTAAAGGAATTAGAAACCCTTTTGGGCTTTACATTGAGAATGGTTATTCCAAACACTAGCCCTGTGAGAAAGACAGTGGAGATTCCACGAGATTCCTTGGAGAAGTACCTCAAAGACTTACTGGGGACCCAAAGCACAGGTATTTACATGATTGTATTTTGCTGACTCTCTCAAGGCTCGGCTTTCAGTCTGGTTCTCCCTTTCAAACCCCGGTGGAATATGCTGGAGACAGAGGCTGTGTGGTGAGGAAAACAGCCATTGGGCTCAGTGGATCCGAGTGCAGCCTTCAGTCTTGCCTGGGAAAAAGCATTAACCCCAAAAGGTCACGCGCTCCCTCTTCCACCTGAGAGTGTGGTGTTGCAGGGATCCCCCCTGGGACCTGGAGCCGGTGGTGTGTGCCCAGGGATGCTGGACTGTGTCTAATTGTTTTGAGATGACAGCCTGGTTTGTGAAGGTGACTTAAGAAGCTGCCTGAGTTGACAGTGGGACAAGTTGTCTCCATCTCTTCAAAGGTCCCTCTTTCATTCTTTGAATTTCAGCCTCAGAAAAACAGCTGCCTTGGGGGCTTTTGAAGACATTTCCACCTGGCGGTAAAGTCTTGCCTCCACCCGTTAAATCCTTGAAAAAGACTTTTTGTGTGGAGCTTCACAGCTCTGCTCTCCAGGGACTGGATTGTTCTTAGGGCCTCTTGTACCGCTGAGGGGCCCTTTTGGAGCAGGCCAGCGAACTCAGGCCGACTCCCACTGCCTGCTCTCTGACCATGTGAGACAAATCTATGTCCGTAGTTCAGTCTTGTTGTGAAGCTGAGGGTTAATTAGGATGTTCCTGGGCGGGAGCCATAGAGTTCAGCCCACTGGGGTGGGAGAGCGCGTCTTGGGAAAGCACTGTGGCTCGGGCTCTCGGCCTCTGCAGAAGCTCCTTTCAGCCGTCATGCTAGTGTCAGGCGTGCTTTGGCCAAGTACGGGCTGAGGGACACACAGGGGCACTTCTCATGCTCAGGCTTAAAGCATATTCCATTTGCTTGAGGGGCTGCCACGACCGTGCTTGTGCCTGATAGACAGAAACAAAAAGCTTTTCTTCGCAGAACAGGAGTTGGCAAGAGGGACAAAACTGGACACCTGTACAAAGTGAGAATGTGGTAGAAACGGAGTGGCCTTTGCCACACGGTAGTGGACCTGAGCTGAGGGGTATGCCTGGCACTCAGTCACTTCTGGTGCCGAGGAGGAGGTGCATCCCAAATCAGAATGTTCTGCATCCCAAATGTGGTACTCGTTAGAAAGCAGGAATGCCCAGCTCTGTCCTTCAGAACTGCTTTCGTTTTCTTGGTTTTCAAACTCGCAGGCCCATTGGAACTCCTCCAGTTTGATCGTGGGCAGTCCAATCCAACCTACTACATCAGGCTCAGCAACCACCAGCTGGTTCTGAGGAGGAAACCCCCGGGGACACTCGTTCCATCCAGCCATGCAGTGGAGAGGGAGTTCAGGTAACTTCTCAGAGCTGGGGCGCCCTCAACCCCCAGCCTCCGCAGCTCAGCCCCAAACTGACAAGTCCGTGCCCTGTCAGAGACCATGACACATTTAAATCTGCAAGTGTGAATTTCCAAAATTATTTCCAATAAGAACATGTAACCTAATTTTACTCAGAAGTTTGTTTTCTCTTTTCTATACCTAAACCTCTAGAAAACCAGCCTTTTTTGGGAACCTCTGGGTGAAAAAAGGCATTTCTGAAATACTCATTAGTCTTACCCTTGAGTCTTAAAGACTTTAAGACCTTTAGTCTTATATTCAGTGGGGTTGAGGCCAAAACGAGTATGGCCACGAGGTGATAGTTGTTGAAACTGGGCGGTGGGCATGTGGGGTTTTTCATATGAACCTCTCTACGGAGGTATGTTTGAAATTTTCCATAATAAAATGTGTACAAGAATAAATGCATTACAACCCCTCCCGACCCCTTTGCAAATAGGAGAATTTAAACATAGTAGGTTGAAAAAAACCTAGCTCCAAACTCTTTGAGAATGAGATGAAAATTCTGGATGGGCTCCAGTGGGGGCGCCTACCGTCCTGGAAGCCTTTCTCTTCCTCTACTCCCTTCTCCCTTCCAGCCCCGGATCCCCTGCAGAAGGAGTGTTGCAGAGTAGTAAGGGAAATATGATGTCATCTCTTGGCCCCTTCTTGTTCTCACTGTTTACTGTCTGTCCTTTGGACTTTTTAGTTCCTGGAATCTGACTTCTCCAAGTGTTGCAGGCACTGGTGACTGATGATTATGAAGCCTTAGGGGGTCATCAGAGGAGAAAACCTGTAGCTATTTCTGAGCATTTATATCTGTGCCCATGCAGGAGCAGGTCTGTATTTACAGGAAGGAAACCGTAAAAGTGTGAAGCCCCCCACTCTGTTCTTCTGCATCCTGCTTGTGAACGCTCTCTGACCATTCCCAGAGGCACTATGGAATTCTGGGGTGCTACAGTGACACTCCAAAAATCCAGGAATGCAGAGAATTTCCATTTTAGTAAAGGAATAAAATGTGCATTCGAAGATGAAATCTAATATGGTATCTGCTTGTAAAATGCCAAATGTAAATTTGAACAATTTGGGGAATTTTGGAAAATAGCATGACACACTTTATTAAAAACCTCAGAGTAGTCACACTTTTAGATCTAATAATTCCAGTTAGAGGAATCTCTCTTTAAAAAGTAATTCTCGGGGTGCCTGGGTGGCTCAGCCATTAGGTGTCTGCCTTCGGCTCGGGTCATGATCCCGGGGTCATGATCGAGCCCCTCATCGGGCTCCCTGCTCAGCAGGAGGCCTGCTTCTCCCTCTCCCACTCCCCCTGCTTGTGTTCCCTCTCTCGCTGTCTCTCTCTCT